CGAATGGCCACTCGCTCTCGGTCTCCGGCCCCGGGCGTGTCTTTTTATTTGTTGGTTTCAACGCTGCGTATTTCTCCGCGTCTTCCTACGCGCCCTTCTTGACTGCGCCCCCCGTTCGCGCGACGCGCCGCCCTCCCTCCCCGTCGCGCCATGCAACTTTCTCTTCTTCCCTGAGCACTCCTGCAGCGCGACCGTGCCCAGGCCCCGCCTGATTTGAGCCCCCTGTTTGGAATGCTCAGGATGCCACTGCAGCTCGCATCGCGCGCTGCGCGTTCATCTGCTCAGCCTTCGCGCGGTTGCCCCGAAAGAACGCGCCCCTGAACGCAGTTTCGTCGTCGTTCCGTTTATCGCAGACTTCCTGCCAAAACTTGATTTTCGACTGCACGGTCGCGAACTCTGCGACGCCGAACTTCGTCGAGCCAGCGGTCGCCCAAACATCTGCTCCACCATGCTACCCAAGAGCGCCTCGAGTATAACTTCCAATATTTTGACCACCCGCTCTGCGAACGTGCCCCCGCCAGAGCCGCGTGCATCTGCCTGTTTAGCCCGTATCTCCTCTCCGCGACTGCCTGCCCCCCCCCCCTCCGTTCCGTCGCGCTGCCGTGCGCCGCTCTCGGGGGGCCCGCTGCCGTTGTTCATGGTGCCCCTCATGTCCTGAACATGAATTTCGATGGTCTGCGCCATCTGCGCGATGGTCAGGGACGCGTCGTCGAGGTCGTTCCAGGCCCTTCCAGCCCCCTCTCAGTTTCCAAACTTTTCTCCTGAACTTCCACTTCTGCCCTCCTGGCGCCCTGTGCTTCGATCCTCGCTTGATCGATCGTGCCTATGACGCTACTTATGTCGGCCATTCATGCGCCCCGCTTTCTAGCGATACGCCCCGGCCCAGCCCGGCGCCGCGAGGGCGGCGGGGTCCGCGCGAGAAATCAAAAGAAGCCGCATAGGTCATGCATAGAATATTTGGGCCTCGCCGATGTCTTCGACCGCAGCCGTGTCCTCCCTCGCCAGGGTCAGGAGATCATCGTCAGACCTTATGGAGGTATCGCCCGCACTGAATGCCGTCCCCGCTGCATCCTTGGAGGCGCGCTGGGCGCGCTGCTGAGCAGCTTGCAATTGGCCTCTGGCTTCTGTCGCCGTCTTCTCTATCAGGGCGGTCTGTGCTGAAACCTTCTGCCAGCCCGTCTCCAGCGTGGCCTTGATCGCTGGCCATGGCTGATGTGAAACAAGGCTTTCTGGAAGCCTTCGGCCTGGTGCTCCATAAAAAAAAGCTTCGAGTTCTTTTGCGCTATATCAGCCTCCCGGAACTGGTGCATGAAGTGTTTCGTGCTCCTGGCAGTCTCGGACTCTCTGGCACATTTGTTTATTGAGTTGACGCCGCCGCCAGCATCATCTTCTCCCGCGGATCCTCCATCCTGCACTGCTCCGACTCATGTTGCTCCAGACCGTCTGGGAAATCTGTTGCTGTTTCAACTACCTTTCGCCGCAGATGTTGAGACAACTTGCGTGTTCCGTTCGTCTCTGACCACTGCATGCACAGCTGGCGTCTCAGCAATTTCTGTTCCATGCTGCTGCATCCCGGCTGTGATGGAGAAGAGTTTCTCCGCGATCCTATCGACCATGGCAGGCGGCGTCGGGCTTGGCTCTTTTGGCGGGGTGGAAGCGGTGGGTGTATTACCTTCGTCGGTTCCTGTCCCAGCCATGCAGGGCTGGCTCCTTGCCCTTCCTCCTGTTCCGCCGCCTTCGACACTTTGGCCTGTCATGGCGTCTGCGAAAGTTCCTCCTGTGGTACTTCAGATTTAGTCGCAGCCTCTCCGTGATCCAGGTCACGCCGACAGTGTCGAGACAGTAAATTATACCTCATCCAAGCCTTTTTCCAGTTCGGTCGCACGTGCTCGCAAATTTTTGATAAGCTTACTGGCGGTACGTACCTCGTCACGGGCCTTGCAACCCTTCGCCCACAGGTCGCTGATACAGTGGCAAGGTCTCCTCGTCATGGTGAAGGCCTACTTCAGCACTGCAAGATCTGCGAACCATGCGAATTACCATTATCATCACCACCAGCACCATCCTTATCACCATCACCACCACCATGCGATCATCACCGCCTACTCACTCACAATCACGCATCGCTCACTCACTCGTCGTCGCAATCACTCGATCGCTCTCACTCACTCATACTTCACGTACTCACTCACTCACTCTCCCACTCACTCACTCAATCACTCGCTTCTCCTGAATGGCTCACCCATTCACTCACTCATAACTATCACCCGCCACTCATCATCATCATCACCACCATCATCACCATCATCAACATTATCACACCACCATCGTCACAATCGCCGTTATCACACATGCAAACACACTTACGCATGCACTCACCCACCCACCCACACACTCGTCTTGAGGAAGTCTCATGCGGGAGCCTCGTCTGCGAATGAGCACCATCACCAGCATTCATCACCATCGTCAGCTTCATCGTCTACCAATTCGACAGCAATCATCACAATCAGTGTCGTCACCATCGCTACCACCACCATCGTCATCACTCACACGCGCACACATTGATCTCGCGGACGTCTCGGACGGGAGCTTCGTCTGTGAGTGACTTGCGAGGAAGTCCCAGGCGGTAACACCCTCCGTATGGGGACCCCAGCGCATGTGAGTGATCCGAACGGGTCATGGAAATCCTGTAACTGTCGTCGTTGCCGGGCCCGCGAGGCCTGAATATCGGGGAAGTATGAGGCGGGAGCCTCGTCTGTGCGTGACTTGCGGGGAAATCTCAACCGGGAATCCCTCCCTGTGGGGTCCGCAGCTCACGTGAATAATCTGAGCGGGTCATCGGAATCCTACACCTGTTATCGCTGTTGGCCTCTCCAAGCTTGCGCAGGGCGGAAATCTCAAGCGGGAGCCTCGTCTGTGAGTGCATTGCGGCGAAATCTCAGGCGGGAGCTCCTCCCCAACGGGACCCCACTTCACGTGAGCAATCCAAGCGGGTCATCCGGATACTGCAAATGTCGTCACGATCGGGCCCCTGACGCTTGACTATGGGGGGGGGGGGGGTATGACGCGGGACGTAGGTGCGTGACTTGCGGGAAAGTCTCAGGCGGGAATCCCCCCCCGTGGGGTCCGCAGTTCATGTGAATAACCCAAGCGGGCCATCGGTATCCTGTACGTCGCTGTCGTCATTTGGGGCCTCTGCAAGCTTGCGTATGGCGGAAATCTCAAGCGGCAGCGTCGTCTGTGAGTGGATTGCGGCGAAATTTCCCGCGGGAGCCCACGCCCAGAGGGGATCCACGCGCATGTGAATCATCCGAGCGGGCCATCGGAATCTTATAGTTGTCGTTTTTTTTCGGGCCCCCCGAGGCTTAAGTATGGGGGAAGTATGAAGCGGGATCCTCGCTCGTGCGTGCCTTACGGGAAAGTCTCGCCCGCAACTCACGACAGCAACGCGAGCGGGTGATCGGAATCCTGTAGCCGTCGTGACGTCTGGCCTCTTCAAGCTGTATGGCGGAAATTTCAGGCGGGAGCCTAGTCTGCGAGTGAATAGCGAGGAAGTCTCAAGGGGAACCCCCCTCCCCATGAAGCCCGCGGGGTTGTCCATGTGAGAATTCGAACGGACCCTCGGCACCTCGTAGCTGTCCTCACCGTTGAGCTCTTCAGGAACGAAAGATGATTCGAACCGTCGCGGGCCAATCCGAGCGGGGCCACTTTTGTGCTCTCAAAACGGCCACTCGCTCGGTTGAGCCCAATCCCCCGACGCGGCGATGGCGACACCATCGGCTGCGCCACGAATGAAGACGCTGGCCGCACGGGCATGTCAGACGAGCACTGGTGGCTGCACCTCTGTGTCATGTTCCCCTTTCGCCCCGCGCATGCGGAACATGCTGGTCCTGCGGCTGCCTACGCGAGAATCCCTGGAACCCGGGCCGCCGGCGTCCCTGCGGAAGGCGCTCCGGAACTTCGACGAGATAACGGAAAGCTCCAAAACCGAGGCGGAGCAGCTCGCAGCACGGCTGGGTTTTGCGACGCCCCCCACCTGAGCGCGGCCGCGCCCACCTCGAAGCCCGCGGGGCTGTCCCAACGGCCTGGCCCGCGGGAGTGTCCCGACGGCCCATCCCGCGCCCCACCGGCCCGCGGGGTTGTCCCAAAAACATGGCCCGCGGGATTGTTCCAAAGGCTTCGCGATGTAGCCGTCGGCGAACGCGCGCGCGCGCTGGTCGAGGCGGCGACGGCGCCAAGAAAAATCGACTTGCTTGTTCCGACCAGGGGGAAGGGGAGGTTCGCATGGAGAAGAGGCAGGAGAATGAGGAGGGGGAAAGGGTATGGGAGAGGATGATGATAAGGAGGAGGTGGAAAAGGAGGGGGAAGAGAAGGAGGCGAAAGAGGAGAAGGAGGATCAATATACATAAAAAGGAGGAAGAGGAGGAGAGGGCAGAGCAGAGGGCGAGAGGAGGCTGTCCGCCAGGGCGAGGAGGAAAGGGCTAGGGGCAAGCTAAACAGATTATCGTGCGGGGTCTCTCCGTCGGAATATGTTTGTTTTCATTCGTGCTGTTTTCGTTCTCCCCCTGCTGCGAATCGAAATCAAAATGAAACCGGTCCATGAAATCGCCAAAACACCATTCATGTCGACCCCTGCGCTGAGATATGCTATTACTGTGGAAGCACATTTCTCAACAATATCCGACTTCGTTAGGTGCCCCATACACCCGAAGGCTTAAACATAGCAAGTTTTTTCCTGGCACCTGCCTGCAGGCCCGTTTCTTATTCGCTGCGCCTACTGTATTGCCGGCGTCCTCCAAGTCCTCCCTCGGCTCCGCGCAAGAGTGACCCTAGGCGAGGGTGGCCTCTGGTGCGCGGCTCGCCGACCGTTGCACGGGGTTGCGCAGTGGCGGCCTGCTTGCCTGGATCTTGCCCGTCGAAAAGCCTAGCGCGCCAAGAGGTTGCCCCAGTGAAGGATCACTCCCACCGTGTCGTCGAACCCTTCCCTGCGCCAGGCTGTCCTCGGCTTCTTCGCCGCCGGCGCCCCGGTGCTGGCGCCGGAGCCCGAGGCGGGCGGCTCCACTTTCACCTCGTCTGCGAGCCCGGCGGCAACCTCTTCCTCCGCGTCTCCTGCCGGCGAGGGGGGTGGAGGAGGAGGAGGAGGAGGAGGAGGAGGAGGAGGAGGAGGAGGAGGAGGAGGGAGGAGGAGGAGGAGGAGGAGGAGGAGGAGGAGGAGGAGGGAGGAGGGAGGAGGAGGAGGAGGGAGGAGGAGGGAGGAGGAGGAGGAGGAGGAGGAGGAGGAGGAGGAAGGTGGGGGGTGGGGGGGGGTCTTGGGTCTGGATCGCGGCTGTCGCCCTGCTGGTCTGCGGCAGCGGGCACGGTGGGTCGCGGACGGCAGTTCGGGCGGGGACACGGCACAACGAATAACGCCCATACGTAACGGGGGGCAAGATCAAGGCCGATTCCAACAGCGTCGGACCGTTCACGGACCACTTCGGACCGATTGCAACCACTGGAAAAGGACTGATCGCAACGTGTGGGATTCGTATCGTAATCATACAGAGCGAACGCCAGATGACAACCAGGGGTGCTCGCCTCAGCTTCCCAGCGCTTGGAGGACTCCTGATGGATTTGAAGACTCCTGAAGGAATCCGGCGGAGGCTGGTGGACATGCAAGATCCCCACGGATTCCCACAGGGTTCTCGGGGATTCCGGAAAGATTCTTGAGGACCCCTTAAGGATTCTAAAGGATGTCTGAAGGAATCCTCAAGGATTCTTGCGGATTCCCGAGGGATGCTCGAGGATTCTTTCAGGGTCTTTGAAGATTACTGAAAGATTGCTGAGGAGTTCCAGGGGAGTCTTGAGGATCACGAGGGGATGCTCAAGGATCCCCGAGGGACCCCTGAAGATGTTTGAAGGATTCGCGATGGATTCTAAAAAAGGTGATTGAGGATTCCTGAAGGAGTCATGAAGGCTCCTGCGAGAAGGTTCCTGACATATCCCTGAGAAGTCATACGGCTTCCTGAAACTCCCGGAAGGATTCTTGAGGATGCATGAGGGTTCCCAACCCGTTCCCTAAAGGATTATGAGTATGATGATGATTATGATGATGATGACGATTCGGATTACGCTGGTGATGATGCTGATGATCGGTCGTGCCTCCGCCGGGAAGAAAAAGGCGATCGCGGCTATCACGTGCGGTGGTAACGTGGCCCCAAGTAGGAATAGATCCTCATGGACCCCCTCGCCCTCCCCGATCATCCTCCTATCCTCCTCCTCCCCCACCTCCTTCTCCTCCTCCTCCTCCTGGTCCACCTTGTTTTCCTATTCCTCCTCCTCGCCCTCCCCCTCCGCCTCCTCATCCTCCTCCAATTTCACATCCTCTGCTGCTGCCAATCCCTAAAGCTGCTGGCAAAGCTCTCTTCTCCTGCTGCATGCTTTTCCCGGTGCTGGCGTGCTGGCGATAGTCCGTCACCTTCTGCACCCCATTTTCTCCTCCTGATCGTGTTCTCTTCCTCATCCTGGTCCTCCTCCTTCTCGTCGTCGTCGTTGTCGTCTTCCTCCTCTTCATCCTGCTCCTCCCCCCTCATCCTGCTCCCCCTCTTCCCCTCCTCCTCCTCCCCCCCCCTCCTCCTCCTCCTCCTCCTCCTCCTCCTCCTCCTCCTCCTCCTCCTCCTCCTCCTCCTCCTCCTCCATGTTGCATGTTGCATGCTGCTAAGGGGGATCAGTGCGCTTCGCGGGTCCAACTGCCAACCCTACCGGTAGACGCGATGGGCCGGGACGCCCACGCCTCGGGCACAGTCTTCGTGGGACTGCGAAACCGGGGCGGGGGGCCACCGCTGCAGTCCTCGTGGCAGCTGGCCTCTGAGCAGTCTCGATTTGGCCTTCTTGCCCGTGCTTGTGTGTGTGTGTTGGGGGGGCAAATGGTCTACTCTGTGAGAACGGTTTGTTGAAGGCAGATCTGCCTTCAAAAAACCGTTCTTACAGAGTAGACCAGTTTTTTGAAGGCAGATCTGCCTTCAAAAAACCGTTCTTACAGAGCATTCAGCTTGAAAGCCTTCGGCGATGACACTCCTCCGCACCTGCCACAGGAAGCAACGCCACGAAACACATGGGAGGTGCGGGAGGTGGGTCGAGTGGAAGGTCTGGGCACGATTCGGCTTGCACGGCTAACCCGACCAGGACTCGTTGGTCCCATGGGCCTGGTACAGTCGGGGCGTTGACCTAAGGAAAATCTAAGGCAAGCTGCGAAACACTTAAGGAACACGGAGCCCCTCCCCAACGAAAAGTGTTCCTTCTTCAGGGCCCCGACTGTACCTGAAACAGATCTTGCACCGCGCTCCCTCGGGGACCAACTCCAGAACCGTGCTGGGCGTGGCCCCACTTCTTGGGAGCCCTGACCCGTCCTCGCTACTCGTGGGCAGGGGGGGCGGCGCGGGGAACACCTCCCAGAAAAGAGCCCTTGAATCGCGGCCAGGCGGTGCTGGCTGAGGCCGAGCTCTCCGTCGGCCTCCGGCACGGGTCGGGTGACCCACTCGGGCAAACGGGCACGCGCTGCTGCATCCGCTGGCTATCTTGTCTGTCAGCGCATGGACTAAGATATGAGGCCGATGTGGCATCACAGCAGCAATTCGGCCCCTGACTTTCGCCCTGGGTTCGGTTTAGTGAAGTGATGAATTTCGGGGTCCTTATGTGGGAAAAAAAACACTTCACTAATCTGGGGCCCCTGGGGCCTCAGTGGGCCCGGCCCAAAATTAGTGAAGTGATGGTCTTCGGGCCTCGGATAAGAAGGCCCAGGGCTGCATATGGTAGTCCCAGAAGTCGGGCTCGGACGGGTGGGACTCGGTTTTGTGAAACCCCACGGTCCCGTAGAGCCCCTCATGGGCCATCCAAAAATCTTGCCAGAGATCTATGTTGGTCCTATGTTTCCACGGGGCTCCTCTCATTACTCCTCGGAAGACGCACGCTGAATCTGTCACAGGGATATCACCGCCGAGGTTGCGGAGGGCCTGGGCGACCGCGTCCAGCGCGCCACGGTTGATGGCCTGCTTACCTGGCAGGCCTCCTCGAAGGGTTCCTATGGTCTCAAGGCCGGCGTCTTTGACTGCTACTCCCCATCCGATCCTCTTGAACCTCGGGTCCAACGAATACCATTATCCTCCAGCGTCGGTTCCCACCAGGAACTTCCCCTTGATCGGGCTTCCTTGGATCATGAAGGACCCCGTGGCTCCAATGGTGGCTCGGGGAGGGTGTTGTTCCAGGACCCCTATGGTGAAATCAGCTGGCTGCAGTCCTCGTCCCCACTTCACTGGATACGACGGAAACTGCTCCACTGCGTTGGCCATCAGGTGCTGGGACTCGCTGATGGCGGGGTTGGGACTCCGACTTAAGACAGGGCAAGTCCAGAAACGGTGCAGGTCGTCTTCCACTGCCGCACTGCATCTGAAACATCGGGAAGGCTGGCAGGGTTTGCACTGGTGTGCTCGGGCGTTGGTCCACATCGACCCCTTCCCGATTGCGTGCAAGGCCTTGGCCCTGGTGGGCTGCTCATCCCTCCGGAATTTTTAGCAGGTAGCCTGAAACTGGTAGGTGTCGATGCCGAACTCAGCTCCCCCTCCAAGGTGGAACGTCGAGGCCCTCTCCCAAAGCGCCTGCGAAACATGGATGCTGAAGGCCTCCTGGAACTCGGTTTGCCCTCTGAGGTCCCCTGGTGGCAACTTGAAGCGCTCGTCCCCTGGGAAGATCCAGCCCCATGGCCCCGCCAAGTGCACGCTGCGGTCATGGAGGGTGGCGGTGAGGGCGAAGTAGAAAGAGGTGACCTTACTCCAGCTGGTCTTACCCGCCAGCCGTTCAACTGTCGGGTACCGACTCTTGACAATAGGCTTGTGCAACTTGGGCTGCTGGTTGACAAGCTCGAACCATGCGGCAACAACCTGCATGGGCAACAAGTGCGCAGGATCTTCCTGCGCTGGCCTCGTGCGGGCAAAGCAAAGCCTGCGGTGGTACAACCATAGCTGGGAACATAGCCTAGTCCTCGCACGAGCCTGCCACGGACCTGCTTGAGGACTGAAAGCGCGATCCCATGTCCCTGGTGACCCAGAAGAGCTGCGGCCTGGTTCCAGTGCAACTTCCGAAAATTTTTGGTGGTCCTGGTGAGCTGGGTGATCTTCCTGAGACTCTGGAGCCCCGTCCCAATCCGCTATTTACGAGTATCCTCCTCCTCCTCCTCCTCCTCCTCCTCTCCTCCTTCTCCTCCCCCTCCTTAACCTCCTCCTCCTCCTCCTCGTCCTCCTCCTCCTCCTCCCCATCCTCCTCTCCGCCTGCCGCCCTGACGCCCATTCCCCCCACCCCCCCTGGACACCCTGTAAGGCCTCCTGGAAACGGCCTCCTCCCTCCTTGTCATCCTCCCACTCGTCGTCGGTCTCCTCCTCCTGGTCCTCCTCCTCCTCCTCCTCCTTCTCCTCCTCCTTCTCCTTGTACCCTCGTCATCCTGATCCTCCTGCTCCCTCATGATGATCCTCTTCATCACCCTTCCTCCTCCTCCTCCACCTCATCCTTTTCCTCCTCCTCCTCATCCTCAATCCCATCCTTCTCATCCTCAGCATCATAGGTATCATCGTCCTCCTCCCCCGTCCCCATCTTGCCCTCGATACCCCTGAAGCCTAGATCCTCCCAGACATGCCAAGGACAAATTTAAGAACTCCCCAAGTCCGTGTCCGCCTTCACTCTTCATCCTTCTCCTGCCTCCCTCCCTCCTATCCTCCCTCCCCGTGTCTCTTCCTCGATAGGAGGGGGGGGGCAGCAAGTGGTCCTGCGAGTGCCATGAGCAGGTCCACGGTGAGGTCTACCACCTCCACCCTCGAGTTGAGCATCTCCCGTAGAGCCTTCGGGTGATGGGGGTTTCCGTATAGGGAGGAGGTAAAAGAGGAGCAGGGACGAGTGAAGAGTGAAGAGAGCGGTAGAGAAGGGAGGGCGGGAGGAGAGCGGGCGGGGAGGATGGGGAGGGAGAGGAGGGGCTGAACGTGAAACTGCGATGCGAGCAAATGGGGTACAGCAGAACTGCGGCCGCGAGAATCCTCTGCGAGAGGGCCGTGCCCAGAATCACACTGCTCCTGAGAAACACGTTGTGCGATCCCTTGGGCCCAAGAAGCCCTGAGCCCTGGCCACCCAATGACGTCACGCCTTCCCCTCCCCTCGCCACGCTCGCCTGGGCCGCCCGCCCGAACAGAAAGCATATGTGAGACCTACCATTCATGCGAAGAACAGGTGGCCCCCCTAAACGGGCAAGGCGTGGCCGACGTGAACCTCTACTCCGATTATTCATCTGGTTGGAGGTCAGTATGGGCGGAGCAGGGGGGAGAGAAACATGAACAGGACGAACCATGCACGCGTCCTCGCGAAAAGCACGGCTTCACGCACAAACTCCATATCAAACTTTCGAACGCGTCGTTCTACGTGCTTCCTCAAACCAAAGCGATCAAAAGAGGTGGGGGGGCAAGCCAGACAGAAGGCATTTGCAATCCGTGCTTCTGTTCGCAATACCTGGGGGGCTGGAGAAGGAGTAGATAATAAAACGATGGAGAAGGAATAGTGAGAGGAGGGAATTCCAACTATGGTTTCGGAAGAAATGCCATGTTGCAATCTATGCGGCGCAATCCGTGTGGTGCACTGTACGCGATGCAACCTATATATATATATATAGATAATAATAATAAGAATAAGAATAATAATAATAATAATAACATATGCGGTGCAATCTACGTGGTGCAATCCGCGCGGTGCAACCTGTGTAGTACAATCTATGTGGTGCAGTTAATTTCTGTTCGCAGTGAATTGTCCACTCCACTGCTCGCGCAAACATCCCAACCACCCACCCGCAACTTGGTTTGCAACATCTCTTAAGACCGTGACGGTGGGTACCAAATGGCACTTGGCAACGAAAGCGACGCCGCCGACGACGACGACAACGACGACGACGCCGCCGACAACGACTACGACGACACCGACGACGTCTCCAACGACTTCGACGACGCTGCCAACGACGACGACGAAGACACCGACGACGACGACGCCAACGCCGACGACGACGATGACAACGACGACGACGACGACGACGGCTACGACGACGACAACGACGACACCGACGACGACGACGTCAACGACGCCGACGACGACGATGACGACGGCGGCGACGACGACGACGCCGACGTCGACGACGACGAAGACGACGACGACGCCGACGCCAACGACGACGACGAAGACGACGACGACGTCGCCAACGAAGACGACGACGAGGGAGGAGGGAGGACGACGACGGCGACAACGACGACAACGACGAGGCAGGAGGGAGGACGACGACGCGAACGACGAAAAAGGAGGAAGGACGGCGACGCCGACGACGACAACGACGAGGGAGGAGGGACACGACGACGACGACGGCGACGAAATAGGAGAGACGACGACGAGACACTGACGACGGACGACGACGACGATGAGGGAGGAGGAAGGACGACCACGGCGACAACGACGACGGAAACGACCACGAAGCCAAAGAGGACGACGACGACGAACACGAGGAAAGACACCGGACGACGTAGGCGACGACGACGACGACGACGCGGGAGGAGGGAGAACGGCGACGACGACGACGACGACGACGCAAAAGCGCGGGCGCACGCTTTTGTTGAAAATCCGTGTTGCGAAACCTTCTGTTTTTGTAGGTTTTTTGGACGCGCGATGTCGAAATCCTTCCGAACCCGATGGGTTTTGAAGGATTTCGGCATACGCGCGCGACGACGCGCACGTCTGCACTTCGCCCCATTTGTTGGAAAAATTTCTCGCGACGGCACACGCGCAAGGGCGTTCGACAGATTTCGACATGAGCGCGCGCGAAGCCCGTTTGGTAGCATCTTGCGAAAATCTGGAAAAACCTATGGTTTTCTCAAGATTTCGCAAGAGCGTAAGTTGTTTTAGCGAATCCGTGTTGCGAAACCTTGTGTTTTTGTCTGTTTTTTTGTTTGGAAACTCGATTGCGAAATCCTTCCGACACCGAAGATTTTTGAAGGATTTCGGCATGCGCGCGCGACGACGCGCGCGTATGCTCTTCGTCCCGTTTTCTGCATGGGACTCGCGAAACAAGTCTTATGTTCGAACAAAAAATGTCCCCGCGCACTAATGTTTTACAAAAGAACCTCAGGGGGAGCGATACCGGCCCTCCCGAGATAATGCAAATTCATCTTTAGGATGGACATGTGGTCAGAATCATACATGATTTACATACCCGAAAAAGGGGGGCGGATAACGCTGGGGGGGGGGTCAGTCTGTATATACTTTTTTTCATTTTAAAAAAGGAATCTATGTGGTGCGATCTATATGGTGCACCCTACGCAGCGTAACCTTTGAAATGCAATCTATGCGTTGCAATGGAAGTGGCGCAATCTCTGTGGTGCAATTCATTCCTGTCGGCGGCGGTTGCGATGAATGCTTGGCGCTGGCTGGTGCATCTCTGCGGCCCCGCCAGC